TAGTGACTAGCCTCGCGATGCCCTGATAGGTGTCACTGTTTTTCTCCTCCCTTTCCCCTCTCCTCACGCTGCGGTGATTTCGCTCCCTGTCCTAGGCCCACTCTGATTCAGATTAGTGACCTCTGGCCTTCGCATTGATTGCTTTCTCTTCCCCGTGTGTTCGTCTGTCCCCAGACCTGTCACTAGTTTTCAGAGTGTCAGATCCGGACGACATTCTGAAGCGCCACGTGATATGTTTTACATAAGTTGATGTCGGTAAAGGTGAAAATAAGCCGACGTTTCGGTTACCGTGGATAACCTTTATCAAGGCAATTTTACAGTCGAATGAGTCAAGAACAGTTTGCCAACTAAACTCTCACGCACTGTGTGTGTATGTGTTGTCACTCTTTTAACCAAACGTGATCTGAATCTGTACACAGCTAATGAGATTACCCCGAAATAGTTGAATTCAACAAATCCCGTGATCATGATGCTTCTTCTTGCTCTCATGAAATCACACTGAGAATGTGACCGAGGCATTCCGTCCCCTGTATCGGGTTCGTGGTCGATTATCAAGGCAGGTTCGATGTCGTATGTTGACCATAGCGGAAGCCGTAGGAATTCAACTGCACGACCTCCTCCCCTCTGTGTGCCCAAAAACAATTTGTGCAGGCGCTCAAGCTCCCTTGGCCTGCTCTCCACAAACCCCATATCCTGAGTGTTTCCGACGATCGGATAACCTTACAATTATGTGATCATTGAGAATCCCACGTCCAGTCGTAAGACAAAATTACCCCCAAATAAACTATGATGTTATTTTCCCCTTTCCAAAAAAGTTGATTGTTTTATTTCCTGTTTGAATATTAATGTATATATGAACAGCGTGATACCTATTGTGATGTATTTGGCATGGCTACGAATCACTAAATACGACCTGGTTCGCCACTCCTTGTTCTATTTGAAATGTGCTCCGTGGACCTGTTTAGATAATAACCGGAAGCAAATAACCCGATTATATCAGAGCACTAGTGAATTCCAGTTTTTTACCTTCCGCAAGTGAATTTCATTTAGGTTAGTTACTCATTTACACATCAAAGAATTTACACCGAAATCCATCTGTGCAAGACCCTGCTGAACTAAGTAAACAGATTTCGGGAAACATCTGTTGAAACTGGAACCCCTATTGCATTAATTCACGCGCTACTGCAAAATGTCTGTAAAACGTGTGTTGACGACACCAGGAGTGTCTCAATCCAAACATCTAAAGAATTTCTACAAACTTCAGCATTACAGTCTTCAAGTTTACCTTTGGACGCTTTGATAGGAGCCAGTGTTTCCAAACGAACGTTACCAAAACCAATGACCACATATCTTATTTTGACGAAAAATGAAAACCTGTATTGCTTTTGTGTCGCAACACACAGAAAATTGCTTGCGATTAGCTAAGCAACACCAGCACCGAGAAACAAGTGAGGCAATTTATAGTTTGATAATGAAAATAAAATTATTGATGGGGATGATATTTTGACTTACCACTGCCGGGATACGATGTAAGAAAGCAAATCTTTTAGTAAAGCAAACCGAAACAGGTACCCGGAGACGGTATTGGGCGCTTTTCTCTGCCCAAGTGAGTTAGTTTTACTTGAGAGCATGCACTATTCCATTGTTTACGTTTATACATTTAACTGTGAGCTTTTGTTCCGAGGGAATAAGGTGATACGGTGATCAGGCTACAGTCAAAATCCTAACCGAATGAGATTCTTTCGGACATTGTTACTCTCGTGGCAATCGCTCTATGGCCTTTCAGTTGATATCTGCTCTTACGATAGAATCACCAAATGACAATCATACACCCTGTAGAAGGTATTTAAGGAGCACGCGTTGAGTTCGGAGGTTTGAAACGGATTTAAGATGGCACTGTAAAAGTTTAACTGAAGGGTTTCACTGGTTTTTGCAACCTCTTTGTTCTTTTCTTCTGCTCTAATTATTACAAATTTTTATTTCATTGAATGTTATTTTGGCTCAAAAGAAACTCAGTCAAGACAATAGTTGAAACAGACGATTAAAGACGTGGACCAATCTGGAATAATGCCCAATAACAAGATATCACATAATGTTAAAATGAACGAGAAATTCAATAAATTGTAACGAAGATATAGCGAAAACAATTTTGTGCTCCTATAGCTGTTATTCAGTTCATCTTGGAGCTGGCTGTTCATCAATTTTGACTATACTTTAAGAAGCCTCCAAAAGCCTCGGTATGGTCGGGGGTGGATGTCTAGGGTTTCAGTTGGTCACCCTTCCCTTGAACCTTGCGAAATGCTCTCATACGACCAAGCTTCTCGCATAGCCTGTGCTGAGGAAGTCCTACTCAGTGCCTTCTCAAGGCGAAGGTATTTTCCCACCAAAGTGATAGGACGAAAAGCCGACATCCGGGATGATAACCGGGTTGTGAACCACTGGTAGTTCACCTATGGAAATTGACCAAAATCCTGATTCCAAACCAACCAAGAAGAGGCGTATGAACCTCCCTGGTTGTGGCAGTGGGTACCAGCTCAATTGAGCATCAAGGACAAGGGCAACTTGGACGTTTGGCCCAGTCCAAAGTGTGTAGGATCCGATGAACTGGACACCGGCCCCCAATGAATTGGGGTTTTCACATATCTCCCCGTTGCCTTACAGGTCAGGATTTGGTTAGTTGAAGGTTCCGGTTGTGCCTTCCGTAGGACAATTCACCTGCCTTGACCTGTGCAACCTGGGGTTATTTGGCCTTCATGCAACTCATGGAACGTTTTTCTTTCTAATAAAGACTTGCACTACGACTTGTTTGGCACACAGTCTGGCGTCAGAAGTGTGATATATATATATATATACTTTAAATGAAACTTAGAGAGGCAGCTGTCTACTGAGTTCAGTAACATCTACTATGTAGACAAAGTCTCCTTACTTCTCGAACCTGAGCACCAGTGGTCATTAAACGAACTCGGAAATCATTGCCTTTGGGAATTCTCTCTAGGAGATTACTGCGCTAGTTAAATATTTGTGCTCGGTTACTCAAACATCAGTTTCTACTATTTATTGTACATTATCGGCCGATTTCACAGTGATAAGAGTGCTGTTTTCTAGCATCGCGAAATCTGATCAAGCATATGAACAGATATGATGAACAAATGCATTTTTATAAGTATTAAAGCTGAAAATCTGCCAGTTCTCATGCCTGTGTTAACATTAACCATAAATGAGGTCATTATGTACTCTCAGTTTAAATTACCTGGTTTCTAGTTAGTTCTAGTTAGTGGTTCCTTTTCAAAACAAAGTGTTTCCTAACTATCCTCTCCCAGATGCGTGCATGCATGATTATCGCTCCTACAGAAAGAGCAAAGTTTTCAAGTCGATCAATGGAGTCAGTATTCTGTGCAATAACTCTGTCTTCCCATGTGGATCTCTGCTGGAAGAATCCCGGTTCACGTTCGAGAAATCGAGAAATCGAACGTGGATACGATGAACTGATCCTGACAAAGACGGAGAGATCTAACAGAATTCGAGCTCAAAGACTTTCGTTCTCTTTTCCGTTTCTGGTGCTCCTATCGTTTCAAGTGAATTGAGAGAGAGGTCGTAAAATCCTCCTTGGAAAATGTGCATGTATACACACGTCACTTGTCCCTTTCGGACATTTCACGGTTTTCACTGGTGGAAGAAAAGTTGGATGGTGGTGGTCAGGCCGTCCACCTCACTGTCGCTGGCCTCAACTTCTTAAATTCCAACATTTCTACTGACACCTAAATATGAGTAAAACAGTTTGCTCCTCTCCTATTGAGCTGTAATACTTTCCTCTATGTTTAACCACCGCTGAGCAAACATTTTATCCTGTGGACCATGCAGTTGTTCATTTTACTGTTTATCAAACAAAAGGATGTAATAAAACGCGTGAAACGCGTGCCGTACAGCACGGATAATTTTGCCCATTTGATCGAATCCACGGTCTAACGAAGCGAGCTAGAAAGGAGGCCGTTTGACTTTCTGGTTAGCTGTCATCACCCCTCACCATCAAAGAATCTGGACAACACGTGCATAGAGTTCAAGGCTCTCGACAAACGCGATGCGTACAATCAGTCTTCAACTTACCTGATTCTTATCGATTTCCAATTCGATCAGTTCATTTTCACCCTGTTTTTGAAATGTGATGATAATCAAAGCGACGAAAATGTTCACAAAGAAGAACGGGAACACGATGAAAAATACCACATAGTAGATGGCCATTTCTTGACGATAATCGGCTGCTGGTCCCCGATCAGCCACAGTAGAATCGATGGAATGTTTAAGGACACTAAAAATAGAGAACCAAATGTTAGAGTGCATGAGGTTCAAGTTGGAAATCATGCACATAATATGCAGTTGTACTGTTCAAAGAGGGTCATATTGCCAGTGTTAGTCAAAGGAAACTTCACTGAGAGCCCGACGGTAAAGCTGGTGTTATGTCGCTTTCAGCGATAGCCTAAAACAAAAATTCATCACTCACATTGGTATTCAACTCCTTCAAAATTACATAATTTATCGGTATACACGATATTGTGATTGAAAATACCGAACACCTTTTTGTGGTAGTTAATGCTTGTCATCGATTAATTAGACAAGAAGTTTTTATTTCGTCCAGCGAACAACTAACCTAGATAACACAGTTTCAGTCTGCCCCTCAGCTACGAACAAGTGTGTGTCAATGGATGATCTCCAACTCCGAGTTTGAAGAAAAAGAGATCGAAATTGAAGGTTACATATCTGCTGGAGATATTTATGAATAATGTGTAATTGATAGAGTGTTAAGCATAATTTACACGAGAAGCGTGCATTTACAATGCATCACTTGAAACACTGAGGTGGTCTTGAGAAAATTGTTACCGCGTTACGATAGCACTCTGTAACTCCGTGAATGAGTTACATAAAGGAAGACCAGGGACTCACATTTTGAATCTACTGAAGGAAAGCATTACTTCCTAATGATCAATAATTGATACAAGGAGGGTTAACGCACACATGTATTCCAAAACGGAGACGATTATTGTTCCCACGATCTAGAATTAGCTTCAGAGGTTACCGATAATGCTGTGCGATCTCACGTGGGTTCCACAAAAATTGTATGGCAAAAAGGCTTGACGTCCTTTACAGAACATTACAAGTGATAGAAACCCATTTGAAAAACTTGATTGGAAATTTCTTTGCGTGCTCTGTTTCAGCACCAGGCAAGGGGATATCTTCAGCGCGA